ATGCTGTTAATGAGTTAAGCACATCTCTTTCTTTTGTCAAACATGTTAAGAATAAACAGATGCCTAAAACACATCAGAATCATGATTATCAAACCAGGGTACACATATGTCTTATGTGGCAATGTACCAGGTGTATGTGTGTGTGATGCCATACAATAAACTTGGCCTATATCCTTAGAGAGTTAATGGGAGGGTGATTTATAATTTTTTTGAATTTTTACAGTTGCATTGAAGTATAATTTATATAACCAAAATTCACTCATTTTAAGTGTACGATTCTATGATGTTTAGCAAATGTATACAGTTGTGTAACTTTTACCACAATCCAGTATAAGAACATTTATTTTATCACCCTCAAAAGTTCCCTCATATTTATTTGCAGTCAATTTCTGCACCAATTCCCAACCCCAAGCAACCAGTAATCTGCTTTCTGTTTGTATAGATTGTCTAATACTGAACATTTCACATAAATGGAATCATACAATACGTGGTCTTTTGTGATGGCTTCTTCCACTTAGTGTAACATTTTCAAAATTCATCCATGTTGAAGTGTGCATCAGTACTTAATTTCTATTCATTGCTAAGAAATATATCCTATTGTATTGATATTCCACATTGGTTATCCATTCATCAGTTAATGAACACTTGGGTTGTTCCCACTTTTTGGCCAATACGGATAATAGTGCTATGACCATTCACACACAAGTCTTTGTGTATGTTTTTGATTCTCTGGGGTATATACAAAGGAGAAGAGCGACTTTTCTTCTTTTGATTATAAAAATATAGTTTGAGCAACAGACTTTATTACTCTCACATAATAAAATATAAGCTCATACCTTTAAATGGCAGTAGGTATATTTGTAAGTAAAGGGAGTCTCTAACTTAAAAAAGAGGGGTTTTCTGAGAATTCATTTGTACATTTAGCAGAAGTAAGGCTGTATTATCTTGTAAATAGGAATATACATGTTTCCCAACTATCATTAAAAAGACATTTAAATATACAATTGGAATGCTGGGAATATTCCTTCTTCCCCTATATCTGGTTTTGGTTTATTAACTAAATATTTTAATTCAGTTCTATAATATTTGGAAAAAATTATTACCTTAGGCTATAACATATTTTGAGTTATTTACCTCACTCATCACCTTTTCTGTTTGTAGTGGATTTTAAAAATATTGTAAAACATATTAATACAAAATTTAGGTTTACATACTACATGAAACTTAAAAAAAAATCATGATTATGGCAGGCCCTTTAACCTCCAGAGATAAATTTTCATTGTCTTCTCCCTTAGAACTAATTCAGTGAAATGTTTGAAAAACAGTACCCACTAGTTCTTAATTTTTTCTACAGAAACATATGATCTCATGAATGTGAGACACTTGTGGACATAGCTAAATTGTAATGGTTAGAGTAGACATAAAATAGGTTTAACATAAATAGTCAGTGGCAAATTCTCCTCTAACTGATATCTCAGTTTTCAATCACTGCCTTAGAAAATTTTAATGGGCATGTCTTGATAGAATTAATTTTTTAAAAAGCAATTTAGTCAGCTAAAATTCATTAATAAAGTTTATTTTTTAAAAGATGCCTATGTATGTCTTAATGGAAACATGATTAATCACCTCCAATTTGTTGTACAGTTTGATTTTCAAATATCTAATTTGCTTTAAATTATTGCATTTAAAACTTTAATGTGTCCACATATTACCTGGGGATCTTGTTAAGAGGCACACTCTGATTCAACAAGTCTGGAACAGAGTCTTAGATTCTGAATTTCTACCAAGATCTTTGGTGATGCAGGTGTTGCTGATCCAGGATCCCCGTTTCGAGTAGCAAAGCCTTAAATGGTTCTCCTCCGGCAGTGCTCCTCCTGTTTTGAATCTTACTGTTTCTAAAGCTGCTGCAGACTGTAAAGCATCAACTAAGCTCATGAAATTCATTTCAAATAAGAAGCCAATAAAACCTTGAGACATAGCCTCAGCTTTTCCATGGCATAGGGTTTGGAATTGTTATCTGGGGTTTCCTAGTACATTTTAAAAATATGTTTTTTATTGATTTTTTAAACAGTAAGGGAGAGAGAGAAAGGGACATGTATGTGAGAGAGATACATCGATTGGCTGCCTCCTACACAACCCTCACCGGGAATCAAGCCCAAAATCCGGACATGTGCCCTGATCCAGAATCGAACCAGGACCTCTCAGTCCATGGGACGACGTTTAATCCACTGTGCCACACCGGCCGGGTATCCTAGTACATGTTACATAGGTGCTTGAGGCTATGCTTTAGAAAGCTAAGTCAGCTGGAAGACAGCTCTAGATAAATGATGTATTATTCATCTATGCATGGTATACCATTGTGTCTATACATGGCTTAGATCAGAAAACAAGAATGGAAGCAGATGAGTTGGAAAGCTATTATAATAGTATAGCAGGAAAGTGATGTGGGGCTAATCCGAAGCGATAATAGGAAAATGGGATGGATTTATGTAAAAGAAGTACAGGTCTGTGTGCATATGTGTGTGTGAGAGAGAGAGAGAGAGCGAGCGAGAGAGAGAGAGATAGAGAGAGAGAGAGTGAGAGTGAGAGCGAGAGACCGACAGAGATAGAAGAGGTGGCGAGAGTAAAAAGTTTAAGATTATTCCAAGGTTCTTAGCTTGAGCATCTTGGTAAATAGTGGTGCTCTTAACTATGAGAACCTAGTAGGAGAAATAACCCTTGAGCAGGGGAGATATTATGGGGAAAACTTTGGTTTTAGACATGTTGTTTTTGAGGTATTTATAACCCATATGCATGTGTAGTGGTTTGCACAGTGTCATGGTTTGCATCATACAAATATAGGTTCAAATTCCCACTCTGCTATTTATTTAGCTATGTGGTCTTAGGCAAGTTACTCAACTTTTCTGAGCCTCCTACTCTTCATCTGTGAAGTAAGGATGTAAATATGTTTGTTTATTAATGAGGATTAAATCAGTCAAGGAGTCAATCTCTCTCTCTCTCAAATTTCTAGGACAGTATCAGCAATGATATCCAAAGCAGTGTGTAATTCCAGTCCTTCCCTAAAAACAAATTACATTAACATACACAACTGAATATTAGAGTGACATGCTGATTTTCTGAAGACACTTTTGGAAAAAACTTTGATTTGCAAAGGCTTGAAATATAGTTTATGATCAAGCCAAAATTTATTTCACAGGAGTAATTTAATTTAAAACATGTTTCTTTGCATAATCATTGAAATATTTACCAAAGCAGGAGCTCCCTAAATGCTCCTGTTGAGCTAAAAGTGGGGAGCATGTGGGCATATCTGGTGGAGTTGCAGAATAAAGAGGCAGAGGAATCATCCAGTTCTGGACAGTACTTGCTACAACTCTAACCTTTAAGAAAAGAATGTAGTTTGATGACTAAGGAAATAAAAAAGGGAAGAAAGGGTAAAAAAAAGAAAGACACCTCACATATCTACATTTGCTATATTTACTGATCTTTCACCAGGGAAAGGAATTATCTTCCTCAGTATGTACACATGCAAATTGGGAAGGCTTTTCCCCAGGGATACATTGCAGTTTTGACTCTGGGAAGACTGCCTCTTCCCATCCTCTCCAGAAAGCTGCCATGATACTATTTACTGCCTTTTAGTAGAACAGAATTGCAAACTGACCCTCACCGCAAGGAAAATTTCTGCTTGTAGTCTGCCTCCCTTGGGATGGCCCACATCTTGAGAAGTTTAAGCTACAGACGCTGCTCCAAGGCAGAGTTCTTTGGCTCCAGGACTTGACTTTGGGTGTGCCCCACCCAGTTTCTTAGCCAAATGGTCTTGAGGCTTCATTATCAAAATAGCTTACCAAGAGCCCCTGGTTTTTTGTACATTGCCTTCCAACTCCTTCCTTCTGATAAACCTGTCCTCGCTTTTAGTGCACTCCTTAATTTTGGTGGGCTTAGTTATCACAATAAATAAAAAGGTCCCTCAAATAATTCCTTACTGCAATGTCATGCAAATCACTGAATTCATTAGCCTTAGTGTTTAAGCATCTGTGTATTATTGCCAAGGTACAACGAAGTAAAGGCTGCCCTAAAAGGGAATTTTTTTCTTAAAGAGTTTAGATCCTGAAATGGAAAGTCTAACAAGGCATTTTGTGGCTGATTACAGCAGTTAAATAAATTGACTGGGGCGGCAGCGGGGGAAGGGAAGGGTATGTGCCGTGAGGAAAACTGGGTGGCTTCTGGATTTTATATTCTTCCTGCAAGGGCAGAAAGAACTTAATCTAAGCAACGTTTTGAATTAGACAAGAAATTGTATGACTCCACTTACTGTGTGACCTTGGATAAATCCACTCATCCATCTGCGCTTTTGTTTAAGGGCAAAATATACCTCGCAGGAGTTCTATAAAGATTATGTGAGATAATTACGCGAAATCTCTTTAGTACATAGTAAGAGTTTATTAAATGTTAGTCGGTGTTAGTGCCGCTTCCGACAAAGGGCCATTCCTCACTCCAAATTTCCAGAAACTTTTTCTGTAGTTAAGAACCTCGGCTGTAAAAGAATGAGAAGAAACACTTTTATACCTGGGGCTCACTTATTTGGACAAACAAACCAAAAACCTACAAAAACCCCGCTTTAAATTTCAGATAGGCGAAATACACTTACCTGGTGGCGGGACCCACTTTGAAAGCACCCCCACTTAGTTCTCCAGTGGATTGTGGGAAGTGTAGTCCCGTGCTCCAGTGGCGTGAGTACAGAAAAGCGGGTAGGAAACTACAATTCCCAGAAATGAAGAAGCGGGACTATTTCCCAGTCCGGCAGTAGCGCTGTGGGAGGGAATTGGCAATCTCTCTGCCTACGTGGGAGAGGAGGGTTGGGGGAAGTGTGGAAAATCTGAAACTGAGCCACTGCCGCCTGAGGAAGACTGGTGGGAGGAAAAGTAGAGGGGAAAGGACGGGTGGAGGGTGAGGTGAAGAAGGGTTTTAGGTCGCTGCTCGCTGGTGGTTCAAAGTTCTTGGCGATGTGGCTGAAGCCTGAGGAGGTGCTCCTGAAAAATGCGCTAAAGCTGTGGCTGATGGAAAGGTCCAACGATTACTTCGTGCTGCAACGGCGTCGGGGCTACGGGGAGGACGGAGGTGGGGGGCTCACCGGTAAGTTTTGGCCATCTCCACCCGCCTCGGGGCCGTGGTCACTGGTACTTAGAAGGTAATGAGGAGAACAGTTACTCGTCGCCATCCGTCGCAGGATCCTAAACCCTAGGCTGAGGGACTGAGGTTTTTCGCCCGCTACCACCTTTGCGTTGCCCTCCCTGGGTCCTGGAATGCATCCCTGGATCAGCAGTTGCTCTCTGGATGGGACAGCGAAAGGGAGGACGGGTTCTTTCAGAAGCAGAGTACCTTCTCTGTCGCTTCTCGTGGGGGAGGGGGCTGATGACGAGTGTTAGACCTCGACAGGTCGCATTTAGGCTGGTGACCAGGGTCAGTTGGTAGTTGTGGACTTAACAATTTTCACAAAACCCCTATTGATAGTTACCACCCTGAGGAGTGTAAATGTGTGTTGGGGTGGGGGGGTATGGTGAGAGAGGAAGGAGCCCCATCACATCCAGAAGGACTGGCTTCAAATGAGAGATTAGGGAGTGGGGGGAGGGCGAGGGAGCCGTCTCACAAATTGCTAACTTCTCCCAATTTGGCATCTTTTACTTTGTCTCCAAGGTTTCAAATCCTTGGGCTACCCTCTGAAAGTAACCGTCACAGATTACTCCTGTCTTGAGTGGTGTTGCCCCTTCTGTCAAAGCCATGATTGTAAGCAAACCAATTAAAAAATGGAAGTTGAACTCTTCCCGCCTAATCTTTCCTGCCTTCAATTTCTTAGATTTACAAATCAAGAACTATTCCTTGGTCAAGTGTTTAAAACCACTAAAGAATTTTATTTATTTTGAGACCACTTGTCTAGGGTGGAATCATTCAAAGTTTTGGACATTTGAAAGGCCAGAGCTCTTTTTCGTGACAATTTCTAGTTTGGTGTTGTGGCCTTGAAATGGCGAACCAGGCTTAATTTAGGCAGTGTGATGTAGCAGAAAGAGGGCAGAATCCAAAACCCTGTATTTTAGTCCTGTTCTCATCTCTTGTTAAATGACATTTGATAAATTATTTCATTCAACCTTAAGCACCTACTAAGTGCTGCATGGAATGACAGGGTACAACGACGGTTAAGAAGTGCTCATAATCCTGATAAATGGGAGAGGGTTGGGTTAGGAGGAATTAACCAGGCAAATTATAACCAATAACTAGTAAACCAGCTAAATTATAATTAGAACTAGATAACTGAAGGATTGGATAAAGATTCGTGGAGGTGATAGCATTGCTTTTCCTCTTCTGCAAAATGTGTTTACCTCACACAATTGAGAGGATAAAATGAAAGATAATGGGTGCTAAGTCAATTTATGTTGTTAAGATGTGCGTTGTTGTTTTGTTTTGTTTTGTTGTTTTTTCCTTTTTTTCAAGCTACCCCTAGTGTGGAGAGAATTTTTAGATTCCACAGGACATTTTGAAAAATTTCTCAAGACCTATCTTATCCATCTTCTAAAAAGACTCTCTTGAAAATATGGCAATGAAAATTGCCTCATTAAAATTGACCTTTTTTTGTTGTTGTTTTCTAGTTAAAAGTTGCAAGTGTTATTTCTCAGAGGAATCTTTTCATTTAATAGATGCATATATTTTCCAGATTAAAATGTGAGAATCAGTGTTCATAATTACCCAGTGATGTAATTTAGCCTCATAGTCCAGCAGTTCTCAACCTGTGGGTTGCGACCCCTTTGGGGGCCAAACGACCCTTTCACAGGGGTCAGGAGTTGCCTAAGACCACAAGAAAAACATATTTCTGGTGGTCTTAGGAACCGAGATACTGCTCCTCTATCCATCTCCAGGCGGGTCCGCCCATATGCAGATATACCCACATACAACATGAGGAACTATATTAAAGGGTCATGGCATTAGGAAGGTTGAGAACCACTGTCCTTATCCATTGAGAACATGTCAGAATATATTTAAATAGGTCCTTGTAGCCAGTGTTACAGCATAATATTTTGGTTCCCTTTAATTCTGTTTGACCAGAATTTTTCTGGTGCCCTTGTCCACAGTTGCCCAAATTGGCCTACATTAAGAAGTGTATTATGCATTGTATAATCATGTTCCTGAAAAACAGTAGGCAAGTAAGTCATTCTTGAGAATCAAATCATTTTAATATGTTAAGTGTTTTCTTACTTGAGCCTGAAATACCAATCAGAAAGAATATATTTACCCCCATGTTCCTAGCAGCACTATTTACATACAATAGCTAAGATCTGGAAACAGCCCAAATGTCCATCAGTAGACAAATGGATAAAAAAGCTGTGGTGCATATACACAATGGAGTACTATGCAGCTGTAAGAAAGAAAGATGTCTTATCCTTTGAGATGACATGGAGGGACCTGGAGAGTATTATCCTAAGTGAAACAAGCCAAGCAGAGAAAGACAAATACCACATGATCTCACTTATTTGTGGAATATAATGAATATAACAGTCTGAGGAACAGGGTCGTCCCAGAGATGTGGAAGTGGGGTACAAACTGACAATCCCCAGAAGAGGGGCTGGTGGGGGGAGGGAAGAGATAAACCACAGAACTTATATGCATGTATACATGAACAATGGATATGGACAACAAAGCTGGGGACAGGGCTGGGAGGGTGGGGGAGAGGGGTATCAGTGGGAGGAAAAGGAGAAACATCTGTAACAAAAATAAATTAATTAGTTAAATAAATAAATAAAAGAAAAAAGCTGAATATTAGAAACCACAAAAAAATGTTTTCTTGTTGCACATTTCTTTTAAATAAGAACTCCTTGTTTTCTGTGTTTGGTTTTTCACTTGACATGTTTTCTTTTTTTTTTCTTTATTGATTTTAGAGACAGAGGAAGGGAGAGGGAGAGAGAGATAGAAACATCGATGAGAGAGAACATCGATTGGCCGCCTCCTGTATGCTCCCTGCTGGGGACTTGGCCCACAACCTGGGCATGTGCCCTGACCAGGAATCTAACCGGTGACTTTTTGGTGCATAGTTCGGCACTCAACCACTGAGCCACACTGGTTGGGCTGACATGCTTTCTTAAAAGTATGGACCAATTACACCAGTTTTTTTATCTCTATCCCATCCACTCCCATTTATTCTTCCTTGTATCTCTAGAATAAGAGATTTGTCTGAAGACATGAACCAAGATTTCTACCACACATGTATGTTGAGAATATCCATAGCCCTATTTTTTTTTTTTTTTATCCTCACCTGAGGACATTTTTCCATTTTTTGTTCAGGTAGAGTGGGAGGGGGAGAGAGGAACAGAGAGAGAGAGAGAGAAACATTGATGTGAAAGGAACACATCAAGTGGCTGCCACCCGCACAACCAACCAGGGCCGGGGACAAACTGCAACCGAGGTACGCGCCCTTAGCGGGAACCGAACCTGGGTCTCTCAGGACCGCAGGCCGACGCTCTAACCGCTGAGCCAAACCGGCCAGGGCTCCATAGCCCTATTTTTGTGGTCAGTTTATATCTCTGCATGATTGTCAAGATGCTTGAAATTACCACGAGAGAGCTACTACTGTATTTCATTTAAATTAAACAATGGGTACGAAACAGAGATTTTGTTTTGTTTTGTTTGTTTTGTTTTGTTTTTGGTCTAGATCTAAATAAAGTGTGTGCTGATTTTAATGGCTGCTCAATTACTGTGTGGTAGAAATCTTGATTCATGTCTTCAGACAAATCCCTTATTCTAGAGATACACAAGGAAGAGTAAATGGGAGTGGATGGGATGGAGATAAGAAACTGGTGCAATATTCTTACTTAAAATTGTGAAGCCAAGAGTTTTGCTGTGCTTTACCAAAAATCCACATGTAGATTAGCTCCCACCGGAGTTTGACTGTGTGCCACCATAAGCTTGCCTTTGTCCATTTGTTTGCTAAAAGCCAATGTTATATACTACTTCTTTAAAAGATTCTTTTATACAATTTATTTAATGAAGGAAAGATATTGGCCATCTCAAAATGTTAATATTTGTACTTTCTTTAAGATTTCACATATTTGGCCCTGGTCGGTTTGGCTCAGCAGTTAGAGGGTTAGCCCGCGGACCAAGGAGACCCAGGTTCAGGTCCCACTAAGGGCACAAACCTCAGTTGCAGTTTGTCCCCTGCCCCGGTTGATGTTATGTGGGTGGCAACCAGTCGATGTGTCTCTCTCACATTGATGTTTCTCTCTTTCTCTTCCTTCCTCTCTCCCTCCCACTCTATCTGAAGATAAATACAAAAATGTCCTCAAGTGAGGATTAAAAAAGAAAGATTTTACATACTTGCCTTGTGATAATTGGCAATAACCATCAGCAATGTAATGACTTTCGCTGTAGAGTTTGTAACTCTATTATTTTCTGATAATGGAATTGGAGCAATAAAGAACCCTAGTATGGTTATAGTAGGAGACTAGTTTGGAAGTTAGAATTCTGAGGTCCTTTTCTAAATTCTGAAACACTTTTGATGGATATCTGATAGATTACTTACCATTAGCCTAACTTTATCTTACTTAATTGTCCTGGTTCCCAGCAGAGTGGAATATCTTGTGGAAATTTTTGTTATCTATAAGATTATTTTACAGATAGTTATTTTCTTTCATTTAGAGAAGTAAATCACCATTCTGGACTTTTGCATTTACCTTACATTATCCCTTGTTCCTCTTGCCTGATGAAGGGTAATGTCTCTTCTATGGCATCTAAATTTAGTACCTGGTTTTATGTGATTAAAAATAATTTATGCATATTTGGCTTGTTAAGCAGAAATCAGTTTGCTCTGCTTGGCAGATGGGAGCTACCACATGAGTGGAATTATGGGCTACATTCTATTAAGTACATTAGTGTATGGGATTTAGAAAGATTTGACAATCAGGAACACAGTGTGCTTTTCCCTCCCCAGGGGTTACCTATGGGATTTTCTATTTAATAAGGTAACTATAAGCCAAAATCCACAAATACATGAATACACCATTGAGTCCAGCAATTCCACTTACCGTATTAACCCTGCTTTCTTTCTCTTTCCTGATTCTTTAATATTTTTATGCCTCTATTCAGTTGTAATT